GACYCTTATTCCTGCAAATCAAACGGTGTCTAAAACCTCTAATGACAAATGGGCGTACATATCGATCCCATCAAAACATAGATTAAATCACCWCTCTTCTTAATTGGTGCTTGTTATTCTTTTGCCGTTTATCGTCCGATGCATTGTAGTTTTGACCAACAAGAGTTGTTATTACCATAGCAGGATGTAACATTGTTCATCGACCTTCTTCAACCTCCCGATTAAGAACGAGAGCAATTCCATCCTTCACCTCTCTCTCTCTCTCTCTCTTCTTTTTCTTCCTTTTTCCTTCTTTCTCCCCTTCTCTCCCCTGTTTAAGCCAAGAAGCACCATTACAAACCCAAACAATTAGATTGCTATAGAGGGGTAATATTGGGTTTTTGAAAAAATAAAATTTAACGGAACATGAACTTAGATGCAACTAATTCTTTACAAATAGCTCATAGAAGGGAGGTCTTTGTCCCATGACGTCACCCAACAAGGGAAATGTTAGTCCATTTTGAAAATAAAGGGGAAGTCTTAGTATTTAGCATCAATCTCAAGGGAGGTTTTAAGTCTTTTTACCCTAATTATAATAATCGAGTCAATAAACCTAATTTTACTTTACAAAGTAAGGTGCAAGCAAGGTCCATTGAACTAACCATTGGAGCCTATGGCCATGTTTGGGAGTGCTTAAAAATAAGTGCTTATTTGTGTTAGGACCATACCATTAAGCATTTATTGGTATTTGGGAAATAAGCCCAAAATAAGTGCTTATTTTAAACATAAGGGCTTATTTTTTAAGCACAAATTTCTAGTTTTTTTTTTAAGTGCTTATACAATAAGTAGTTATTCAAAATTTTCTTCCAAAATTATCCCTAGTTGAATTTTAAAATACCACTTATAAAATTATCCCTAATTGAATTTTATAAAAATGCTTTCGTAAAAGTACTTTTATGAAATCACTTTTATAGAAGTATTTTATGAAATCTATGAAAATACTTTTATAAAAGTACTTTCATAAAAGTGCTTTTATAAAATTTGAAAGAAAATGATGGACAAAATAGTCACAAATGCTTATCTAAGTGCTTATTGGAGAAAAAAACCACCAAACGCCCAATATGAAATAAGTGCTTATTTTTTGGTGCCAAATGCAAATAAGTGCTTATTTAAATAAACACTTATTTTTAACATAAGCACTCCCAAACATGGCATATATTCTAGATGTCTGATCGTGTGCCTCCATTTTTTGGATGGATATATATTAACCAACTTAACCACTGGGGTTGGAGATTGGGTATAGCTTGGCTCAATTAAGAATGGCATAAGATCCCTTTTGCCATTAGTTCTCTTAGCCCAAGCATCGCACGACTACCGAGTGGTACATCATATACAACATACCTAAGAATATTATTTAGAGGACTGAAATGGGAATTTGGATTTGCTCATCACAGAGAACTCTTCACGGTACGTCTCAGCCGCATATTGGGAATATTATGGGTGCAAATGGATCATATCATGATCCAACCTAATCCTATTTTATCGGATGTGGATATCCGTTGTCGGACTTACATAATCGTATGTATGTATATGCGTGTGTATGTATGTATGTATGTATGCATGTATTTGTGTGTTATTTATTTATTTACAAATATAGTTATATTGTATTATTGTAATTTTTATATTGTTTATTTATTTTTATAAAAAAACATGTATATGTGATGAAAATAGTTGAAAAAAATATCTGTATGTTTTGTTTTTGTTTATATAAATGTTATATTTTCCCTTTTAATAACTTATTAAAAATGCTAGAAATAAAATTGGATTCAGGTATCTAACATCCTTAATGGATTCAAATTCAAACCTATGTTTGTGAGATCCGAACGAATCAAATATACTATTTTTTTTATTGGATCAGACTCGAATATACCTCAATTTGAATCTAATCTCATTACTTTGCATCCCTAGGGAGCATCTTCTGTACTTGTGTATTGTTATTCATGGGAAGATGTTCCCAAATACACTATGGAATGTGTTGTGAGATGAGTGTGAAAAGTGCTTTGTGAGTAGGGATGACAATTTCTACCCTATTCTATCGGGTACCTGCCCTAGCAACGAGGGTTGTTTCCCTTCAAAAATGGATTTTGGGGAGAGGACAAGTTTTGAGATTTCACAACCCATACAAGTATGGGTAGGGTACAGAAAACCTGACCCTCTAGTATAAGGCATATGAGCTTATGTACTAGATGTGAAGTAATACAATAATATTTAGAATTTTATGTTAAGGATAATTGATATTCATGTGTTTTTTACTTGTTTAATCAAATAATTGGAAAGTTTGATGTTTGTTCATGCTATTTACTTGTTTATTATTACTATATAATAAAAAATAATACAAAATTAGATGCAGGTTCTAGACCCAACCCCACCCTCAAAAGCGAGGAGGATAGGGTTGAGGTTTTGCATTTTCATGTACAAAGAGGGTTTGGATTTTAAAACCAGTATGGGTTTTGGGGAAGGTACAGATTGGGATGTATAGAGAGGTAGGTAGGGTCTATAATTTATAAAATCCTCATCAAATCCGCCCCATTACCACCCCTATTTATGAGGGAGTCCAAATCTGATCCACACCAACCTTGCAACATGTCCCGTTGCACATTGAGAACATCTCCTGTACTTATATGTTATTATTAGACCTAGCAAAAAGTTGACCCAACCCGCGAACTCGACCCAACCCAACCCGAAAAAATAGGGTTATGGTCTCATATTTAGTTGCCTGAACGTGAGAATGACCCGACTTGGCCCAACCTGAAAAAACTCGGTTGGGTTGGGTCAACTCACTGACCCGATTGTCAAGTCTAATCGGGACTATTTATGCATTGTTAGAAGTTTCACTCTTTAATTTTTTTCTATTTAGTCTTTACTCTTTATTTTTTACTCTTAAAATTGTTAAATGTTCAACTTTTTTATTATATATTTGAAATTTTAAGTAGGGGTGGCAACGGGCCGAGCTTTTTACGAGCTACTTGAGCTCGGCTTGGCTCTTTTTCAACTAAGCTCGACCCAACCCAACCCGAAAAAATAGGGTTATGGTCTCATATTTAGCTGCCTGAACGTGAGAATGACCCGACTTGGCCCAACCTGAAAAAACTCGATTGGGTTGGGTCAACTCGCTGACCCGATTGTCAAGTCTAATCGGGACTATTTATGCATTGTTAGAAGTTTCACTCTTTAATTTTTTCTATTTAGTCTTTACTCTTTATTGTTTACTCTTAAAATTGTTAAATGTTCAACTTTTTTATTTTATATTTGGAATTTTAAGTAGGGGTGGCAACGGGCCAAGCCTTTTACGAGCTGCTCGAGCTCGGCTTGGCTCTTTTTCAACTGAGCTCGAGCCCAATTCATTGTCTCAATTATGAAACGAGCTGAGGTCGAGCCTACTAGAGCTCGACTCATGAGCTAGCTCGAATATATATAATAAAATTATAGAAAATGATATATATAATAAAAATATTATAATTATTAATTATTATAATTCATATTTTTAAAATATCAAATAAAAACTCAAAATCGAGCTCAAGCTTATGAATTTTTTACTCGAGCCGAGCTTGAGCTCAAGGTTATGGCTTGAACCGAGCTCGAGCATTGTAGAACAATCTTGAGCTGAGCTTGAGCCTCATACTATTTAGTTCAGCTCGGCTTGAATCCACCCCTAATTTTAAGGTTAATTCCTTTAATTTTGACATTTTCATGTAGTTTTTCTTTATTTTTTAAAATTTCAGTTATTTTTTGGGATGACCTAAATTGACCCATGGGTCAAGCCTAAACCGAATATTTAGGGTTAGAGTCTAGCATTTGATAACCCAACCCAAAATCAACCCGAAGTACCTTGACCCAACTCAAACTCAACCCACCCAATCCAATTGCCAGGTCTAGTTATTATTGACGGAGAGATGTTCCCAATATATGGTGGGAACTAAAATATGGCCGTGAACCAATCAACCACAATATTCCATATGTGTGGATATGCATAAGTACATAGGGCTCACAACCACTTGAAGCTTGGATATCTTCCTAGGAATAAAAATATATAATACAAGAAATAAGATTTAATCGGACAAAATCATTCTCACATTGTGCTCACAACCACTTATAATTGTATATTTGGAATATCTCCCCATAAATAAAAATATACAAATGAAGATGTTACCAAGGTTGCAAAAGGCTTCAAGTACGGTGTGAGGATTGAATCTGTCTCCAAATGCATGGCTCCAAAAGGCTGTAAACACAATGTGAAGACAGTTTTATGAGGAGTGAATCCATGCTCTCTTCATTCCTCCCATGTAGACCTGTTCGTGGGCCGAGTAATCCGACGGATTGGCTCGGCTCGACATGTTATAAGTCAGGCTTGAACCTAAAATACCAGACTCAACCTTATTTTCAGTCAAAGAAAGCCTGGCCAACCCGAGTCAAACTTAATAATATAAATTATATAATAAAAAAATATTTTATTTAATAAAATACATATATATAATATTTTTTTTGTTCATCTTCTATTTTATTCAAATAATAATAAGATAATTTATTATTTTGGACTTTGAAGATTTTTAATATAAATAAAATATTTTTTTAATAAAAAAAATCTATTATCAAATTTCTGGTCAAGCCCGGAATTCAAACTTTATTTGCTAGGCTTGAATTCAAGACCTAAACCCGATGATAGGGCCAGCTCAAACTTGGGCATGAATTTATTCTGCTGACACCCAAAAAAAAGAAAGGAAGAGAAAAAACAAACCTTACCAATATAAGTATACAGAAAAAAAAAAAGAAGAAGAAAAAGAAAACTGAAACCCTATACCAATAGGCAATAAATAATAAATCACAAAAAAAAACTCAACGTGCTTTTACGCTTGCCCAGATTTCCTGGATCGATGACGTGTACGGTCGCGATTTCAGTCACTGCAAACCTGCAATATACGGGGCTTTATAAATCTTTCCCCATACCCTATTCAACTGCATCTGGTTTTTTGGCTTCTTTTGCCTCTGTTTTTCCGGTTAGAGTAACTCGATCAGAGGCCGTTGTCGGCGTCAGAGGGAGTTCGGCAATCTTTACTTTGAAAGATCCATTTGTTGTTAGAAGTTCTGCTAAAAATCGGCCGTTCTACGCATTCAAATCGTTTTTTTATAGATTGGAAACAAAGCCCCGATTTAATTGTTTTCGCCTGATCCTCTGAAGATTTATTCATCAAGGAGATCTGTATTTTTTGTTTGATCTCTAAAGAGAAGCGCTGCAGAACTTATGCGCATAGCTGGATCCAATCGCTACTACTTCTTGAACCCTAACGAGAAAGAAATCCTAGCTAAGATGAAGAAGGAGGGGTCTCCGGTAGAGGATATAGAGGAAGGGGAGATTTCGGGAGGAGAGGTTTCTGATTCGGAGTCAGTCGAAGAGATTACCGAGCAAGATTTTAAAAATGACGCTAAAGGAGGATCGAAAGAGACAACAGGAGAACCGAAACAGTCTCCTAAAGGAGGAGAATCTAGGGCTTGGTATCAGTATCCTGTGACAAGTGGTTATGGCTCTGGTTTTCATAATCTTGCGTGGGCGCAGGCAGTTCAAAATAGACCTCTTGATGAGGTCTTCGTGAGGGATTTTGGATCTGATGAGAAGTTGGTGAGATCTGTGTCTAAACCAATGATAAATAGCAGAGAAGACAATAATAATAACAACAGAAGTTTAAATTCTTCTTCTAAGGAGGTTTGTAACTTAATAAGCGATGACAGTAGTGAGGAAATTGATAGTAAGATGGCTGTAGTTGGTGAAGATGAAAAGGAGGAGGGTGAATTGGAGGAGGGAGAGATTGATTTGGACTCAGAGATGGTTGAGTCGGGACATAGTATTGAAATTTCCAGTGATGGTCAGTCTAACGCGGAGAAGGATTTGAAAGAGAAGGAGTTTGAGAAAAGGCTTAATTCAATTCGAGAATGTTTAGAGACTGTAACTGTAAAAGAAGCTGATAAGTAAGTTTATTCGTCATCCTTCAATTCGGAATTTGGGTCCTTCTGATTTAGACCTTCGGTTTAAACAGCTTTTTTCACGGATTCTCGGTTTTATAACAAGGAAACGTTTGACTATGCATGGTGGATTGACGTCCTTAATTAATTTGTTGATTGTAGATCTTTTGATGCTATCTGTTTCCGAATGCGAACGTCTCTGGAGAGCTTGCAAGCAATGATTTCGGAGAACCGTGTCCCTGCCATGGATGATCTTATTGAGCAATCTTTTACTGGAATTCAGACGATTAATTCTGTGAGATTCTCCTTAGGATTTATTACGCCCCCCAACCTCCCCCCCCCACACACACGCACACAGTGATTCTAACCGATGGTTTCTTGTGTAAAAGTTTGGCATGTGTTTTGATGCAGGTTTATTGTTCCATGACCCCTCAGCAGCAGGAACAAAATAAGGACATTTTTTCTAGGTTCCTTATTATTCCTTAATCGCATTTTTCTTTATATGATCTACTGCTATTAGTATCCTTATTAGTTTACGCTTCTGCTCTATTCCTTACAGGTTGATTGTACATTTAAAGATCCAAGAACCTGTTCTTTTTTCACCTGATCGCATGAAAGAGGTTTTCTTTTAATTTAATTAGTTTAGTAATTTGGCTTTGGAAAGTTCCCTTATCGACTAGAGAAACTTAACTTGATCTATTCTGCTGCAGATAGAGTCCATGGTGCGATCCTTGGATTGTCCGTCTGCTTTATCAAATATAAAGGTTCTGAATCAAGAGAAAGAAGCACTGGTGGGTGTCCGGGAAAATATAAAAAATTCTTCAATTTTATCTGAAAAAGCTGGTAATGGTGTGGATTTTTCAAAGAAGTTTCAGTTGGAGCCAATGCCTGTTAAATATGGGGATTGGGATAATTTGAATACGAGGTCTGAGACTTCAAAAGCTGGGTTATCATTTGGCTCTAGGAGTAGAATTGGCTTTGGTCCCCTTCTGGACCTTCACAGGGATCATGATGCAGACAGTCTTCCTTCACCTACAAGGAAGGCTCCACCACCTTTGCCCATGCAAAAACCGCTGTCTATTTCAGATGGGACACCTAGATCAGATTTAGTGACAAACATTGTGGAAGATAAAATGGATGACACGGCTTTGCATCCTTATGAAACTGATGCCCTGAAAGCTGTTTCTACCTATCAACAGAAATTTGGACGAACTTCATTGCTTTTGAGTGATCGGCTCCCAAGTCCAACTCCTTCGGAGGAGTGTGATGATGGAGATGGTGATATTAATGGGGAGGTTTCTAGTTCTACAACTGTTGGTGGTGTTGCAACCATAAATTCATCTACTTCATTGAAAACTGTTAGTTCAGCCACTTCTTATGCTGATAACTTGAGTGGGCAAGGACTAGTTCCTGCTGTTAGTGTTGGACAGTTGGGTTCTATGTCAAGTCATGTCATAAGAACCGCAAAGAATAGAGACCCTAGACTTCGGTATGCCAACTCTGAAGTTGGTCCTTTGGATTTAAATCAACGCCCCCCATCTGGAGATCATGACATACGTAAGAGTGAGCCCCTGGGTGGAATTATGGGTTCGAGGAAGCACAAGATTGTTGAAGAGTCTCTGTTGGATGATCATACATTTAAAAGGCAAAGAAATGGATTGATAAATTCTGGGGCTTCTGGAGATGTTCAAGTGGTATCTGGAAGTGGGGGGTGGTTAGAAGAAAGCAGTTCTATGGGGCTACAGCCAACTGACAGAAGTCGACTGATTGAAAAGAGAGAAAGCGATCCTAGGAAATTGGGAAGTGGGGAAGCTAGTTTTGGCAACAAGCAGGACACTGGTTGCAGTACTTATAATGTGACAACTGGTGGGAATGAACAATTAACAGCATCTGGTATTGGCAGTACAGTGTCATTACCTTCTCTCTTGAAGGATATTGCTGTAAACCCAACCATGTTGATGCATCTGATTAAAATGGAACATCAAAGATTAGCAGTAGAAGCTCTGCAGAAGTGTGGCAATCCTGCTCAGAGCACGATGCAGTCATCCAGTTCAAGTGTGATGCCAGGAAAAATTGCTTCAGTAAATATTGCTTCAAAAACACTCTCAGAGCCTGAGAAAAAATCTGCAGGAAATTCTCAGATTTCTGTCCAAACAGCGTCGATGGTGAGCAATGACATACTATACAAGAATACTAACATATATTTGTTTATGTGTGCATACGTTCAGAGGAATCATGTGGCCAATCCAGATCGTCCATCAGATAGTGGCCTCTTTGGGTTGCCCATGCATTCGTTGCTGCAGTCACATTACACCATACTCTACTTAATTTCAGAAATTTCACTGACTGATATTATTCATCCAATGTTTCATTTTTCTAACTTAAAATTGCCCACAAAGTGATTATTTTGGAAATTTATTGGGCTTAAATTAGCCCCATGAAGTAAAGGCTGGAGTGATAGATGTGTAGATATTGGGCCCAAAACCATGTTATTAACTAGAGCATTAGGAAGTTCAAACTGGCAATATATTTATGTATATATGCTAGTTGATCCCTCCAGATTCCTTTTAGGTGGAGGGTTATATACTTATTTTCGTGTGAACTTATCCACTAAAATAAAGTTACGCATTGGAAAGCAAAGGGACGAAGTGCCAAAATTTGAAGAAATGGAAGATGAACATATTACAAAATTTAATGTGTCCATCATTTGGATGGCAAAATTGTGATTCACAATTTACAAGGACGACCTATGCAGATAAATATAATAATAACAGAATTTAGCACCATGCTTATGTAGGTGGCAGAACTGTCATACAAAATACCAGAGAATAATGCTATTAAATGGGATGAGCTTTTATAAGTAATGCGACTCTCCACATTTCCTAAAATGTTAGATTTAGATACACTAGTACGAGTATCCTATTTAATATGCTCTTATCATGCTTTGCAGCTAATTGTCATTTTAACAGTGTTGTTGCTATACAGTACATATAGAAGTGTCCATGCAATATGATCTTAACACTGATATGCTAGGCATGTACGGGTATCCAGGTATCACGACATATAGATGTATACGTGTATGCGTGTCTATTAAATATGTATATATAGAGAAAGTAGCTAAACTATATTAAATATGAAGTTTATTTACATGATAGGATATACAACATCATACAGATATATGATTGAACAGTCTAAGCCTTAAGGAAAGAAAAGGGAACTAACTCATCATTGCACTTTATGCGAAACAGCCCTTCCCACAATGTATCTGTTATCTGATGTTGATATCTAATAGTAGTGATACTTTTAGAAATATAATGTGGGTTTTCATTCCTTTTTCCACCCTCAATCTCCTTTAAAATAAAAGCAAACAGACTATATTTTGATTTTTTTATTCCTGGGATTTGAATGTCATAGTGCATCCATGTCATCTTGAAACTAGGTGCGTATTAGTTTGTTGGTTGTATTTGTCAGTACTTGGTTGTTTGGTCCATCTTTGTGTAGGTTCAATTTCTATTATTATTAGCACGACAATTAATTTTGTTTACCTATTCACAGATCCCTCACGGTGATTTGGGGAAAATTCGCATGAAACCCCGTGATCCTCGCCGTATTCTCCACAGCAATACTTTTCAAAAGAGTGACAGCTCTGGACCTGAGCGATTCAAAGCAAATGGTACCCCTTCACCGAATACTCCGACTTGCAGGGACAACTTAATTGTTCGTCAGCAAGGCGAACAGGCCCAGACAAATTCCTTGCTCTCTCAGTCAACTGCACCACCAGATATTGCCCAGCAGTTCACAAAGAAGCTGAAAAATATTGCCAATATTTTATCTGCTTCTCAAGCAATTAATACCCCCTCTGTAGTTCCTCAGACCATCTCTTCCCAACCAGTACCTGCTAAGATGGATAAGGTGGATATGAAAGTTGTAGCAACAGACTCTAATGACCAGCGAAGTTGGAGTGCTTTGACACCTGAAGAAAGGGCAGCTGGCCCTTCATCACAGAATGCATGGGGAGATGTTGAGCATCTATTTGAAGGCTATGATGACCAGCAGAAAGCTGCTATCCAAAGAGAAAGGGCAAGGAGGATAGAAGAACAAAACCAAATGTTTGCAGCTCGGAAGCTTTGCCTTGTCTTGGATCTGGATCACACTCTTCTTAATTCAGCCAAGGTACATTAGAATTGATAGTTTGAGTTATTTCCCAAATCCAATAGAGGTTGCCTATTGAGCAAATTTTAAATCTATTTATTTTGACACTCACTTTCAGTTCGTCGAAGTAGACCCTGTGCATGAAGAGATGCTGAGAAAGAAGGAAGAGCAAGATCGAGAAAAACCGCAAAGGCATCTCTTCCGTTTTACTCATATGGGAATGTGGACAAAACTGCGACCGGGAATATGGAATTTTCTCGAGAAGGTAACCTCTTAAAATGGATGCAGTTTGAAGACCAATTGTTTCTAATTGTAATTTGAGGTATTCAAATATTTTTCTTTGGAACTTTCTTAGGCTAGTAAACTTTATGAGCTGCACCTTTATACAATGGGCAACAAGCTATATGCAACAGAGATGGCAAAGGTGCTTGATCCAACTGGAGTTTTGTTTGCTGGGCGAGTTATTTCAAGGGGTGATGATGGTGACCCTTTTGATGGTGATGAGAGGCAGCCTAAGAGTAAAGATTTGGATGGGGTTTTGGGTATGGAATCAGCTGTGGTAATCATAGATGATTCTGTAAGAGTCTGGCCTCATAACAAGCTGAACTTGATAGTTGTTGAGAGGTATAGAAAATCTTATCCTACACATCTCTTCTGATTGTTATCTCTTTTTATTGTAAACCTATGTATTTGGCTTCCAGTCCTTGCTCTGCTTCTAAATAACTTAATTATCATCTAAGCCTTATCCCAAATATATGGGGTCAGCTACATGAATCCTCTTTTACCATTCTGTGCTGTTCAGGTCCATATCCATTGTTTGAGCCCTTAAATCATTGCCACTTCTAAATAACTTGTGTTGCAGATATACTTATTTCCCTTGTAGCAGACGTCAATTAGGACTTCATGGTCCTTCACTTCTTGAGATCGACCATGATGAGAGACCAGAGGATGGGACTCTAGCGTCCTCCTTGGCGGTGAGGATCTGATCCAGTGCTTAAGAATATACTTATCATCAATAAATTGTTGAATGTATACCTGTTATTTGCCTTTGAAATAGGTGATCGAGAGAATACATCAGAACTTCTTCTCACACCAGAACTTGAATGATGTGGACGTTAGAAACATCCTTGCTGCAGAGCAACAAAAGATATTGGCTGGTTGTCGTATAGTATTCAGCAGGGTGTTTCCAGTTGGTGAAGCCAACCCCCATCTCCACCCACTTTGGCAAACAGCCGAACAATTTGGTGCTGTGTGCACCAATCAGATAGATGAACAGGTCACTCATGTAGTTGCCATTTCTCTTGGAACTGACAAGGTATTCTTCTTTCTTTTGTTCTTTTCTGGAAGGTCTAAATTAGGGAAACTGGAACATTGAGATCGTTTGTACTCCTTCCAAACTGAGCCTTAGAAACGGCAAATYTGAGATACCTTCTATGTGGAATATAATGACAGTAGAACCACCGATAGAATATCACCATAGAGGGATAGGTCCAACACACTTAGCTGTCCAACCTGGAGTTCTAAACCCATTCTTTGTTCTTCAGTGATGCTTATAGTTAACTTGGGGACCGTTTGATATGGCTAAATTGGCTAAACTGAATGACTTGTTGATTTGTCCTTTGTGTTTAAAATAGGCATATACTGAAACATTTAGGTTGTGTTTGGTTTGGTAGAAAATAAGAGAAACAGAGTTGAGAAAAAGTTAAGGAATTTCTTAATTTTTTTTAAGAGCTTCCTCTTAATTGTCTGTTTCTTTCTTATTTTCTGTCAAATCAAATATATCCTTGAGGGAATTGGGAGTAATCCCAAGATGCCATTCTTCTATTAAAGTGCTTATAGCCTATGTTAATTGACTTATCCACTGAAAGACAAAGTGATAATTTGTTCAATTCAGCCAATTTAGATGTTATACAGTTCCTTAGTGGATTCTTTTTGAAGGATCATTTATCATATATTTGGATTGGATACTAATGGCATTGGAGATGCTTGGATGGTTGGGCAGCCCTCAGAGCATATACACAGAAAAAAATTTATATATATATTAAAAAAATGCATACAGGCACAGATACAAAAAGGAAGAGAGAATACAAAAATATCATTGGTCAGTTTACTCAATCCGGTGTATTTTCCACGTCAAGTGATAAGCTATTACTTGTTGATCTTTAATATGGTTGATGTGTGCCTAAGAGTTCACTTTTACCATCAGAAACGACTCTCTGAACTCTGAAGTATGTTCTCTGTTTCAAACAGGTGAATTGGGCCTTGTCTACGGGAAGATTTGTTGTCCACCCTGGCTGGTGAGATGTTATTTTTGTTATCATGCCTGAGGTTTGTTATATTTATTTTGATTCATGCACGGACTGAAAATTTTCCTTGTTTAATAGGGTGGAAGCGTCTGCTTTGCTGTATCGGAGGGCGAATGAGCATGATTTTGCCATTAAGTTATAAAAAATCTCCCCCCTCCCCGAATTCATAACCCCAGATCCCCACGGGTAAAAGTAAAACTGATTAAACGGTAATATCAAAAATTGAATCAAGACGGAATTGGGGCTGGTTGAGGTTGGATAAGATTAAGATTGAGCTGGTGCAGCATGCTCAGCCTGGTGTTGGTCATAGTTGACATGCAAGATATAAATATGCCCCAAATTATCCCTTCACCCAAGAGGATCTCATGCTAATCTTATTGCTGTGGGGGGATTGTGGTGATCGGACAATACAAAACATTTTGGGGCAAGAAATTCAAAATCTGATAGAAGACTTCCTTGTAGGGTTTATGAGATACGAGTGGGTGCAAGGAAGTGGCTGACCTGGGTGATTGTTGGGTTGGAGGGGCTTTGAAAGTTATCTTTCTAACTTGGTTATTAAGATGAGGTTTCCAGGGCTCTAAAAGTGCCTGATATGATATAATCATCCCGAGACGCAACCATGTAATGGCACCAAAGTATCAAACATCCCAAAGAGGGGGAAAAAAGACCAAGACAGATTTCGGAAAGTAAGAAATCTTATATATGACGAATTGGTTGGGCATTTTAAATTAACAGAATTCAATTTTCAGTATTAGTTTCATGTCGGAACTCAATTTGCATTCTTAATATGCTTTTCCAACCGTATTGAGGTATGAACAAAGTCTGTTTCGATTGGGGTTGCAATGCAAATGTAGTCGGTAAAGGATTTGAATCTGTTGCTTCTGGCCTTTCGGTCATTTGGCTCGGAACCTTGTCGTGGGAACTAAGAATAGAATGTTCTTAATTCCTTTTTTTTAGCCAGATTCTGGATTTAGAAAATTAATTTTACACTTGATTCAGTATTTAGCATTCCCAAATGTCCACATCGCCACAAGAAATTCAGGGTTTCTATTATTCCACGTTGACCAAGTCTCGCCCAGCAAAAGGTCTTATTTTTTAGTTTTTTTATTCTTTTCTTGACCTCATTATCATATGACACGTGGTGACATCTTAAAGCTAAATTATATTTTCTTTTGATCTTGTGTATTTAATCTATTGGCTGGAGAACAAATCGGTGCTTCCCACTTCCGTGGCTTTGAATTTCATGGCTGAGTTGTGGAGCTCATGCTGGGGCTAAGGTTTACCTGGTTTGTGCGGTGGATAGCTGTCAGACCTCAACTGCTTAGCGCACAAGGCACAAACAAAACTAACCACTAACGGAGAAAACTCTGGATCAGATATTTTTTATATAATTGTAAAAATAAACTAAAAAAAAAAAGAAATGAGATCAAGCGATCAACCATAATAATTGTATTGTTCTAACACCGAAAACCGGGATGTCTTTATTTTTCTTGTACATTTGTTTCTGCATGTTTGCAGAAATTAACAAGTCAATAACCGACAAAGAATTGGGAATACGCAGAAAATAATGTATATTTTAATTATTTGGAAGTGTGACTGGAAAAAGAAGTGTGCAGTATTGGGATGTTATGCATCAACCAGAAAAGATCACAAAGCATGTTTTTGGCGCTACACTGTTTCTACCTGAAATGTTTCGGGTTTATCGATATAAATTGGTGAGAGATACGTGTCATGTGTTACATCACATATGAAAAGTCGCTTCAAGTAGAACTGTTGGACTTCATCTACTAAGCAAGAAACGTCAATTTGACGTTTACAAAATGCATCGACTCATATTCTTATTGTATGCCAAATTGTATTGATTAACTCAAGATAATGGTACTTAATACAACCAAAATTATAATATTCTTATTTAGGTGGTGAAGATTATTTTTGTTGAAATTATTGAATTTAACTTGTTAAAGATAACAATCAATCCCCATTTCAGTTTTTAAATTCCATGGCAACATAAATTGATGATGCTTCTTTCGTCTTTATTAAAAGGTTAATGTTTTAAGAGCATATCAATTGTTTTTATGGATCTAATTGATTTATACAGAAAGTAGCAAGAGACAATTAGTGAGTAAAGTGTTAAAAATATATAGTTTAAACTTTGAGAGACAATTAGTGAGTAGACTGTTTAGTACACCCTAAGAATTCTTAGCCCTACATTACAGTTGGGGTATGTGCCAGCTCAGAATTAATGCTAATACATAGGTGGGTATTAGTGTTTTAGGGTGGGGGTATTTGTCATTTTGAATTGGAGTTTGGCTTCAGTCAGGGCAAACTCTGTTCGGGTAGTCTTTACTACCTTGCATTGAGAATATCTCCATACTTGTATGCTTTATTTTATGGGGAGATATTCCAAATGCAAGGTTGGAAAATGATGTTAGAGCGGTGTGGACATAGATTTGTCCTGAGTAAAGCCGGTCTCTTTGAATTGTGTAGGGTTGCAATGGAATTCAAAATTCTATAATGTGGAGCTGTGTACTTTTTCATTTAACTTTTAAGAGTGTGCTAGTTGTTTTTATAGATTTTTATTGCTTTATCTATACTATATAAATTGATTTATATAATGCTAACCTATATCTTTATCCTTTACTTATTACACTTTGTATAATAAATTAAAAAAAAAAAGTGGCAAGAGGCATCAATAGTGTGCTGATTTCTGTATGATTTTGCCCATCCGATTTAGTAGTAGAATTATAGATTCTTCCCAATATTCTTGTCTTTCAAGAAATAATGAATTGGATAATGCTTTACTTTTTAGTATTATAATTAATTATTTCACAAGTTTATGTTACAAAATATAATAAAAAAATTTTGCCTTCCATGTGCCTTACACGTGGGAGGCATAACTATATGTAAATATTTGCATTTGTGTAATTATCAATAGTTTTTTTTTTTAATAAAGATGATTTTATCATTATCTACATCTGTATTTGTACTCCATATGATTTATAGAGGTGAATTTTAAGTAATCTTTTTTGTATTTTTCTTTTTTATTTTAGTGCATTTTTTAAAAGTAAGTTTGGTTAAATGACTACAAGTATATTGTGATTTGTGGACACATGTTAGAATCATGGTTCAAACTTCAAAGTATTTGATGCATATTACCTGTTATAGTCTCATATGTATCAGTTTTGGGACTTCCAGCACATTGCAAAAGTGGAACGAACCCCGATTTGGTGTTACTTTTTACCTGCATCCACAGGTATTCGCTGATGCATCATGGTATTGACTCTTTATTGGTCCTTATCAGTCAATACATCAAGCTAGTACTCAATTTTTATAAACCTTTTAAAACCATATACTTCACTATTACAAGTCATGGCAACTCTCACTAACCCACCAAGCTATACTACTGCGATTTGTTTCAATGTTATTTTTGTAAAGTTATTTTTTATTATTTGYCATATTAACTAGAAAATTAACAAATGATATAATTAATTGGTATTAAAAAGCGATAACTTTTACACCTCAAAAAAATATCGAAATCTATGTTTCTTATGTATACACGCTTTTTTCATGGTCAATTGAGATTTAGATCTAGTTTTATGTATTTGTATGATTTATTTGAATTTTTCTCAACGTATACATTCATCTATTTATTTTTCTATTGTATTTTCTAAGTTTATCTTGATAGATCTGCTAAAATTATATTTTTTATATATTCTTAAGCCCTGTTCATTTTTTGGAAAGTTATTTATCTGGGTAAATATATTTATTTACCATGTTCTTTTATTTCTCACTCAGAATGTGCCGTGGGACGTTGTGAGGCGGAGGTGTGAACTCCCTTGTCAAAAGGGCACGATATGCAGGCAGCAGCATGATGATTGATCATTTTACTCTTATAACTTCTTGGGCCCTATGTGCTCGCTCATTCGGATTTCTTATTTGCTTTTCCTACCCACCGTAAATTTGGGCCACACATCTCTACTATGAATTAGGAGATGTGTGACTGTAATTCAGACGGATAGAAAGTGGATAGGAAAGGTACATAGGAAATCTGGGCTCTACATCTACTTACGAAAAATGAAAAAACTACCCGCATGGTCCCACGGGCCACGGGAGGCTCAGGCTCCTAAGCACACGGTTATAGATTGAGTTGAAAAAGACAAAATTGGTTTTACAGAATTTGGATGATGTTTAATCAATATTCGGATCGTCTCGTTTGCGGTTCGCATTCCACGAATTTTGGTCTGACGGAGATTCTGTTTCTGCACAGGTCGGTTTTCTTATGCGAGCCGTCCTTTAATGCGGGAGCCTCTCAATCCTCAACGAGCGGTTGAATAAGTATTAGTGGAGACATTTAATTTACGTGCAGATAAATACATTACATATCAATAGTTGAGTACTGAATTTTAACAGTAGTAGTACTATAACACAGTAAAACACAACACCAGTCCGACCGGTTCAAACCTCAAAAAGCAATATCCCAATTAGAATCACTTCCATCAGTTTTCACTACTAAAATCCAGCCATGCACTCTACATCTTCTGTTTGGCCTTCGATCGGAATTTCAGTTCAAAGTTCAAAACCCAAATTTGCTATGTCGGCCCTCGTACAAGAAAACGGCGACTCCTCTAATAAAAGAGTCGACATATACTGTAACAATGGTGGAAGAATTCCGCAGATCCTACCGGTCGCTTCTCTATCTGAAGGCTACGCCAAAGTGGACTGACTTATGGTGTCCAGGAGACAGTACTGGACTAGAATAACAGTTCCCTTCATCGGTAGTGCTGATGCAGTGGAACGGCCCCGACCGATGGAGCTCAACCTTGGTGTTAATTTCCGTCCTTAAGGGTATATAGGCAACGGAGGAATTAGCTAGGAGGCTAGGAGCTATTGCTGCAAACGGATCTCATAAAAAATATATATCAATTAATAAAATGAACTAAAAATGACTTTRAGATTGCAAAGTAAATTGCACTTATGATCACCCTTAATTGGATGGGTTTCAAATTCAAATTCAAATTTAAATTCAAAATTCAGACTAGAACTAGAACAGGAACAGTGGAACTAGATGGAGAGTCCGAATCTAAAGTGGTCGGGTTCACGTGCTTGGTCGTGTGTCTAATTTCCTCTCTAAACCCGATTTATCCTCTTAATTTCTTGGTGATGCTGCGCAATCTCGTTGCTCCCTGCTGGAGGTGATCTGGCTTCCAGGTGGACGACGGACTACGTTGATCTGCAAGAGAAGGATCAGAGAACCCGGGGTTGCTAACCCGGTGAGGTCTTTCCGATGCTTAAGTTAGTATACTTGTTGCGAGCTGAAATAACTTAAGAATGCAGAGAGCTAGAGAGCATAGAAATCACGCGTACCTTGAACCTCCGGGGGGTGGAGCCTTTATATAGTCGAGTCATTGAATTGACAAATCAATTTTTGGTCATGTATCAATTTTTTGTGCTAAGTACCTCGTCATTTGGTCTGCTTCCAAGTGGCCAAAGTGAACTTTTGCTGGATGAGGACTTAGATGCCGAACTGACTGGGCCGAGCTAGGCTGGTTAGGTGACGAGCTGACCAGAGTGTCGAGCTGCCCAGAGGGCCGAGTTGCCTATTAATCGCCGAACTGACCAGAGGGATGAGCTGCCTATTAGTTGTCGAGCTTACCAGAGGGCCGATCTGGATTGATTGTTGAGCTTCATAGTTCTTTAGAGACCTGCAAAGAATCAATGTCAGAAGACTCGGGGCGGCTAACCCGGCGAGGTCGCTCCAATCCTTATGTCAGTACTCTCATAATAGACTGTGAGCTAAAAATCACAAAGTATGAGAGCTAGAATATGCTTACTTGCCCCCCTATGCCATTGGGGTTGGTGCCTTTATATAGG